TGTGGGGTTGAGACACTGGCTGAGGGACCGGAGGACACTGAGGAAGAGGAGAGCTGGAACCCGACCTGCCCCCCAGGGCTAGGATGGAGAGCGCTGCACACACTGCGCTCGAGGCAGGACAACTCAGAGGGAAGGGAGGAGGTTCCAGTGGGCAGAAGGGGCGACAACCCTGCACCTTTGCCAGCGGCCTTTCCCCCTTCCTGAATATGCAGGGCAGGAGGAGATGAAAACAGCTTCCGCTTCCACTATCCCTCCCACTCTGCATTAGATAAACAGACGTTTCAGACTTCAAGGACCACACCAGTCCTCACAGATGCAACGGAAGGGACGACGCTCTTGGGATCGCGTCCTGGCCCCATCCCAAATAGCATGTGGTCCCCTTAATCACAGAACAGCAGAGTTGGAAGGGGCCAGGAAGGTCATTGGGTCCAACCCCCTGGTGTTGCAGGACACCTCGTTACACCCCCCCACTTGACCATTCCTCGGCTGGAATTCGACCCTGGGCCAAAGAAGGGTCCTCAGGGGATGGGGCCCGGAAGACGAGGCTGCCCCAGACGGTGCATCTTCCACAGGAACAGGGATGCCTTGGACACACCAGCCCAACAGGTGAGACTCACCTGTCCAGGGCAGCCTTCCCAGCATGGCCAGCCATGGTCAGGAATGCTCGGAGCTACAGCTGTGCACACAGATTGGGCGGGGCTGGTCCAGAGGGTTATTCTACTGCCCCGGGAAGAAAAAGCCACAGCTGCTGCCCAGGGGGGTCCTCAGCCCTGGGCTTTAGTCCCCACTCAGCCATGCAGCGCACTGGGTAACTAGCCCTCCTCGTAGGGTTGTTGTGAGGATAAAACAGAGAGGAGCAAAAATTATGTAAGCGACTTTCGGTTCCTCGTAGGGAAAGGGCGGGGGACCTGAATGAATGAATGAATGCATCACAGGAACTCTGCAGCCTCATTGGTGGGACATTCCACTCCAGTGCCTTACTTTTGCCGTCAGGGCCATCAAAGGCATCCAAAAAAATTGCCAGGGGCCAGGAGCAAACCAGTGGCCTGATTGCCCATGAACGACCCATCAGCAGAGGCCACGGGGATTCGCGCCAGGAAACTGCGGCTAAGGAGAGGCTGGAGCTGCTTTCCACAGGCTGACCCCCTGCGGATGTGCTGGATTACAACTCCCATTTGCCATTATGGCTGGGGTTGATGGTAGCTGCAGTCCAACAAAACTGGAAGAGGATCACTCAACCTTGGGATCAGCGCCCCCCCCCCCCCCAGGAGCTGGAGAACTAATCTTTGTATGAACAGCCTGCTCTTGCAATAAAGCATACCTTAGGGGAGAAAATGCCATCCGTTTTGGGCGGGCATAAAAACCTGTTTTTGCCCAGTTGCCTGAAACAAGCCAGAGACTTTTTGGAAGCTCTGCAAAGGTTGTTTTTCTCGCGCTCAGGTCACAAGTAATTAAACTTAGGCGTGTGGAGGCAGGTGAGCTACTAATTTGCGGGCGATTAACTTTCTCGTTAATTTATTTGTAAGGCAGAGTTCATTAAAGCACTCTTCTGTGATATCAGCTAGGATGGGCTCATTTCGAGCTGGAGCTGCTGGTTTGCTTCTCCAAGCAAAGAATCAGGCCTGGCCCAAAGAAATATGATACAGAGGAGACTAAGAGAGCAGAGTTTCATTAGATTAGTCCGAAGACCACATCAAAGCCCAGATTCAGCCGTTTGCACCGTTCGTCACAGCCTGGACGGGCACATGGCTGGGGGGATGCTGCCAACCCCCTTGAATTCCACAGAAGCGGGGAGAACATTAAATCGGAAAATAATAAATACCCTTGAGAGGCAGAACTCGGAACCTGGCAATCTGTTTAGTGCTACACTTTCTCTACTGTCATAATAGGCAGGTCTGTGCTTACCTGGCCAACGCAGGTAACCACAGGATAAATCCCACAGAGATTTTGCGAGGGTTTTCCTGCTCTCCCTCTTGGAACTGGAGGCCTGCCTTCCCCAACCCTTCCCCAAGGCAGTGCAGTGCCCTCTGAATGTGTCAGACTACAACCCCCATTGCTCTGCTGCTGAGGGATTATGGAAGGTGTGATCTAGCCCATCTGGACGGTAACCGTGCTGGGGGAGGCTGGCTTGGAGTCAAGCACCAGGGAAGGGCCGGTGCATTGTGCACTGTGACCTTCACAGGGAGTCGGCTCCTTCCCTGGAAAGAAGCACCCTTCTCCGCAACGGGACATCAAGGATATTGCTGTGCACAAACAGCCACGCAGAAAAGCCCTCAGCGGTTCAGGGAACTGTCAGGTGATGGAAAACATTAATTGCAAGATTAACCTAATTATTTGGATGCTGAAGACATGGATTTTTAATCAGCTCTGTCAGAGCCTTCATCTGAGAAAGGGTGTCAAGTGATGAAGACACAACGGCTGTCAAATACCCACGTACACCACCAGATCCTTCTCTCTTAGCTATTCCAGGGGAAATTAGCATTTCCTGGCCATAAATCTATACTGAGGCAGCATAATATTTTGGACAAATGTATGACCCTATTCAGCAGTCTATAAACTTGAAGATAAACAAACAAAACATAGAAACATAGAAACAGAGTGAGTCAGAAGGGGCCTCCCGGGCCATCTAGTCTGACCCCCGGCTCCAGCTGGCTCCACTCACGACATGCCCACCATGTGCATGTCCAGCCTGTCCTGGAGCACCCTCACGGATGGGGCCTCAGCCACCTCCCGTGGGAGCCCATTCCACACCCTCGGGGTCCTGACTGTCAGGAAGTGCTCCCTGGCATCCAAATGGAACCTGGGTTCCATCTAAACAGAACAAACTTCTGACTCATGCAGAACTTTCTTCTGGAGTGACAAGAATTCAAAATACAGACAGAGCAGCACCACTCTTAAACATGGCAAGTAAAATGAAGGCCCGCGGATCTGAAGAGGAGCAACCTTGCTTACCTGAGAGACCTGCTACCCCTCACCTGCCACTAATGGATTAGCGAGATGCTCAAGCAAGAAATACAAAGACGCTAAATCACGGGATATTTTCCCGACTTGAGCACTACTGCGTCAATGAGGTTCTGCGAAGGTACAAGTTGGACAGGCAAAATACGGTTTTAACAATATTTGGAAGGGGAGGGAATACATTAGGAAAAGGCCAGTATGGCTCAGATCCCTCACTATCATTGAGGGTGATATTTTGCGCAATTAAGCAAGTACCAGATAGATGACTAAAGCCAAGAAGCAAGCGACTTTCTCTACTCCCTGCTAGAACCTGGCTGCAGATTACCTTGCTTGAAGGCATCGCTTGGATCATGCATGTTGGCTTCCTGCAACACAGAGGGTGGAACGCTCGAGCAGTATTCAGTGCACACTCTGGAGGGCTTCGGTCTGCTTCAACCGAGTGGGACTTTACTTCCAAGTTCACACGGGCAGGACGGGGCTGTGCATGACCCTGTTTGCCACGCCATGCCACACTTCAAATCCCATTTTCTATCAGCTTCCTCTGCAGACTGATCTGACCAGAGCGAGCTGGGAAACCCCCTTCTCACAATCAGGCGTGTTCCTTGTCAGCTAAAACTTTCCACACCAGGCAATAGGCCCTCTTCCGTTTGCTGTGACGTAAGCCAAGGTAAACACACCACGGATACGATGTATGGACACCCTGCCCACCCCACCTCGCACCGCCAGAGTGGTATATTTCTGAGAGCCTTCTCTGGACTGCAGGGAGAACTAGGCCCGCTCACCGAGACATCGGAAGGTTGTGCCTACGCCTCCCCCACCGCCTGCACCAGGACACACTCTGTCTCCAGGAACAATGACAGCCCACCTGGCTCAGACATTACGAAAACCATGCAGCGGATTTCTAGCCCAGGAATCACCGCAAGAGCTGCAATGCCACAGCCTACAGAGGCCCTGCCCTCTCTAAACTGCTCCAACTAACCGTGGCCTTCGGCTGGCATAACTTACAGAGGTGGGCCATATTTGGCCTTCCAGATGTTTGCGGCCCGCCAGGTGTTCTGGCCTATGGGTTGCCCATCCCTCATCTAGCCCACCCCCGTTTCAAGCAGGCGTCAGCCATCCTTCCACAGAGTTCACAGGTCGTGTGCCCAGACCACACGGTCTGTCCAGGCTTTCTCCCCAGCCCCCGTTTCTGAAAGGAGGAGGACACAAGTTATAGGGTCGCCTTTCTGGCATTGATCCAAAGGGGGAGAGGAGGAACATGGGCAGAAAAATGCAGGGGTTCTCGCCATAGCAAAGCGCCTCCTTCCCCAGAGAGCTCACGGAAGAGAAGGCTCCCAAAGACACCGTGGCCTTGTGAGCAAACTCCTTGCGTGTACACAGACCACGTTTACCGATCCCACGGGAGCCTCAGTGCCACGGCAAGCCTGCCACGTGTGTCTAACCGTGCCAAAGGGCAGGGGAGTACCACAGCCCCCACACCTCAGTTCCTCGGTGACCGCCAGCAGCTGGCTGCGGATGATGGGAGTGCTGCACTGCTGCCAGGCACCCCAAGAGGCCGCAGAAACGTTTCCGGAGCAAAACGAGGCAAGGAAGCCCACGCCTTTCCAAGCTGGACACAGCAGGACATGCTGCAGCCGGGACCCCCCACAGACAACGCCTGCTCCCCACACTTCTGGGGGGTGGGACCGGCTCGAGGGCAGGGCTTTCTCACTGCTCAAACAGGAAACAAAAAAAGCTGCGATACATTGAGGGTTGCCGGGAAATGTCAGGGGCGCAGGAGAGCGTGGGCCCCTGACCCCTTCAGGGACAGCGAGGAGCTCACAACCCCTTGCTCTGTAACAGCAGGGCTGGCCGGAGGAAGAAGCACCTCAGCCGGGGGAGCGGGTCCTCGTTCCGCGTCCCTCCCAGGCAGCACTGCAGGGGTGATGGCGGGACTCGCCACCCGCCCACCGTGCCAGGCCGTGCCGGGCCCTGCTGCTTCCCCGCCGGCGAGGGGCTGCTGGCCCCCGGGAAGGCGCCCCCCGCCCCGAGCCGCCACTCACCGCTGTGCGAGCTGAACCAGCGGGGGCCGAGGGGGAGAGGCAGCGCGTCGGCCAGCGATGCCCTGGAGCCCAGGTAGAGCATCCCGTCTCTCGGGTGACCGCCTCCCGTCTCCTGGTAACCGTTGCCATGGGCGAAGGGGGAGGAGTCCGCGCCCGGCCCGCCGCCGCTGCCGGGGCCCCGCTCCGCATCGCCCGCCGCCGCCGGCGCGGGGCCGGGGGCGGCGGCCGCGG